ATCGTAACTGTTGAACTAATACAGTCTTTTCCCCAAAGATAGAAGAAACTTAATAAAGATGTTACTGAAATTGGGAAGCTTTCATATATTAAATACTACTTTAAGTAGTACTTAAGGGAAATCTTCTGGGAACCAAGTTAGCTTAGTGTAGTTCAATAAAACATATAGTTGTTGGTATTCTATAATTTTTTAAATGCTTAAAATGCTGTCCCTAAACCAGCAGCCTCAGTGTCACTAGATTGCTCCTTAAATATACAAATTCCAGGGCCATACTGAGGACCTGCTGTGTCAGGAACTGCAGGTGAGGCCCAGCAATCTGCCTTGTTAGCAGGCTCCCCTGTAATTCTGATGATGCTAAAGATGGAGATTTCCAGTTCAAAGCAGAGAACAGAAAAGCAAGTTCCGCTCTGATAAACATTTACTCAAGCAGCTGAAACTGAAATTGAATCCGGTCTTGGAAGATAAGTAAGGGAAAGGTCTCCGAGAAGTCATTGAAAGTCAAGTAACCAATCAATTGGTTGAAAAGGGGGCTAAGAAGTCATTCTCATTTATTCCCTCTAGAGAAATAAGGTATAAGAAGGTTAAAGAAAAGTTCAGTAAAATCATCAGCAACTACCAGTGTAATGATTCTAGCAATGAAGTAGTCCCAATAAGAATACGTAATGCTCCATTTTTCTGCTTTGTGTAGAGAACCACAGGTTTTCTGTGCTAAATATTATTTGAAAGAAACATGTGTTTTTTTTTTTTTTTTTTTTTTTCTTTTTAATTTCCAGAGGGCATGTGCACTCTCCAGAGAGTGAGAGATGGAGAGGGTGGGGAGAGAATACCACGCACTGGGACAGTTCCTCCATTTCTTCTTCCTATTAAGATTTGAACATTCATGCACTCTGTGTTTCTAAGCCACCAGGCCAAAATTCAAACTGCAGACATGTGGGATCTGGCTCCTTTAACTACGAACTATGGGGCTGGCTCACTTTTCAGTTTTTATATTAAACATAAGCTTTAAAAATGCCAGGAACTCAACACCCTGATTTACAAATTTCTACATTAAACATAAATGGACAGATTCAGCTAGTGATTGGTGTCTACCTATGTATCTGGAAAAACAAAATCATTACATCAAACATTTGAGACAAATATAAAATACTAAAAATCATAAATATGTAAACAACATGTAAGGGTAAGAAGATGAAGTTAATGTCCTAGCTACAGGAAGACAGATGATTTTATTTACTTTAGTGGCCTCACTATTATCTCTGTACTACCCCTCACATCCCACTCTCAACTCCAATATTTCTGATTAATTTCTAGATATCAATATCAAAAATTCAAAACAAAACATAGCAGTACTTGTCCCCTAAACGTTTTCTCATAGACTCTATCTCAGCTAATGGTGTTAAATTTCCCAAGGTATAAAGCCTTAAACATTCTTCCCTTTCCTCCTCCAGCCCTACTCCTGCTCTCTCATGTTCTCTGTAAGAAACAGTCTGTATTTGCCAAATCCAGTCAGTTTAACTTTGTAGTTACCTAGGATTCATTTCTATTTCATCTGTTCAATCGTGACCAGTTTACTCATATTCCCATGAGATTTTTTTTTTCCTTTCTTTCTCCATAACTAGACCTTAAACTTCTAGAGAATAGGAATGATATGTCCTCCTAGAGGCCTGGCATACAAACATTGTTCCCAGGTGAACGTGCTTAAAGAGTGAACTCATTCATCTGAAATATCCCAGCCCCATGATTTGTGGATGCCTTTAAACACTGTATGTTTTCCGAGAGAAAGAAATTAATATGTGACAAATTTGAAAGAGAAAAATAAATTTCTAGTCCACCCTGAACACGGTTTAGGACCTTGGTAATACTCTAATAATCACATTGTATGATTTTTATATTAGGTCCTCTTTCTTGACTCATTTTAAGGTAAGTTGTATTTGTGTTGTCCACTTGGATATGATTGTTTTCAAGTTTTAGCATCATTAACTTCAACAAAATTAAAGACAATGTATAACACAGTCTTTGAAAACACTTGGAATCTGCAAATAAGGCAAATTATAACAACACACAACATGGTTTGCAATGATCACATGAATTAACCTAAGGAGTTACAATTTATGAGAGAAAAAGTTGTGTCTAGAATATATATGCTACCTAAAACACATTGATTTATGAAAACTGTCATTTCAAAAGGTGTTAGCCTTGCTTAGGAAATATGTTACCTAAAAAGAATCACAGATAAACAGCTAAGCTTGAACGGGGTGTGACTGCCCAAGCCCTGAGGACACCTTTTGTGTGCCGTGTACATTTCATGTTGTTGAAACCTCACTTTCATTGTACAAGACACCAGGAACTCCAAGGTAGATTGAAGCTACACTTTCAAAATGATAAAGTCTAAAGAAAAAAAATACAATTTTTGTTTATTCTTGGTGCCTTCCTGAAGAGAAATTGTGGAATACACAAATAGAAAAGGAATTCTTGGCTAGTAGACTGATACACGAGAAATCTTCCAGAAACACTTGGCCTGGGCTGTTTCAGATTCCTGGCAGATCACAAACCTTTTCTGTCTTTTATTAATAATCAGGGTCCAGATCAAGTGCTTCTAAGGAGCCAGGATCTACTTGCAAGACTCGAGTTTAGCTCAGAAGTTGAACATCTTCCAACAAACACTCTCATAATAGCAGGTATCTTCTCTAGACACCAAGTTGCTCTGGTCAGCACAGATGTCATTGACTAAAGAGAGGTTAAATGTATGACTGATATTCTCTAGAAAATAGAACTAAGGAGGTTCTTTAACAATAAACCTAAAACACACATTTAATGTCAAGTTTGTCCTGTAAATTTTCTGCAATCTAAAATGATCTATGTCACAATCACATCTGTCTTAAGCTTGCACATATAGATGTAAAACAATAGGGCATACAATATAATGCTGTAGCCATTAGAAGTACAAATACTTTAGGGGTATGATTGTGGAAAGAATTTCAAAATCACAAGGTAACTAAGGTAGTAGGATCTAAAATTAAAAAGATAAAAACAGGTTCTTTTAATTTCAGCCATAGAGGGCAGACATTTGGTATATATTGAGTGGGGATGTACAGTGTTTGTAGACTGAAGACGTAGAAATAGACAGGATACCTGTAGCTACCAGAGACTACATGGTAGTGGGTGGTGGGTAGGAGGAGTTCAAGGAAAAACTGTTTAACAGACCCAGGAATGTATGTTGATGAGAAAAATGGGTTGTGGAACAGCATGCTATAACAGAATGACCAAAAGGGACATTGCCAAGTGTGTGTGTTTGTATGTGTGTGTCTGTGTGTATCTCAAAAAAGAAACTAGTAGAGTCAAGATTGAAAAACAAATGAAGGTACACATCATAATGTCATGTTCTTTGTTAAAACAATGAGTGTGGAAATATCCTTGATTGATTATCGCCCATTGCACACAGGCTTTGAAAGCCATACTATACCCTACAAAGATGTATAAGTATATGCAAATAATAAGTTATAAAAATATTAACAAGATTATGATAATAAATAAAAAGGAACTAGAAATAAATTAATTAAAAAATAAATTAAAAAATATTGAATAACAGATTCCTACTCATCCTCTTTTGAGGGTTTCGTGCCTCCTTAATGGTGAAAACCGGGATATAACATAAAATACGACTTGAGAGATAACCGTTATCTGTCTCTTCCAATCAAGGTTTATTCAAGTTTGAAAGGATCCACGAAACAAACAGTCTTTCCTATCAGTAAATTTACCCATATGATAAGCAGGTAAACTACAAACAGGACTCAAACAGCAAAAACCAGCAAAGCAACAAGCAGAGATGTATTGTCATTGTGGAGTGTTGGTTTATCAAAATTTGGTTTAGGTAAGGGGAAGAGTAAAATGGAGGTGAGATATAAGAACGAACCATTGAACACAGGCTTCTAAGAAGACAGCGAACACTCAGCCATGAAATTCCCTTCCTAATAATAGCACAGACTCTGATAATAGTCCTCCAGGAAGGCAAAGATAATAGTACACAGCAGCAATAGCAGAGCTTGCTTAAAAAGAATGCCACACCTCTAGTGGCCAATCATTTGCAGTTAGAAATTTGGTTATTGTCAGAGAGGGCAGAAAGTGCTATAGCTATCATAATATCTATTACTAGATTTCACTTTAAAAGGTAGATTCCGAGTCACTGCAGTACTTGCAGCATCTTCCTCAATTAGTCTTGATGCAGAGAAGTGAAGAGTTCAGTGAACAAATAGACCATTCAGATATGGGGCAATAAAAAAAGGGAGGTATCTGGACAGACACTATTAGTTTCATATTCCTTCTTGTTCACTTCCTTAGTAGCAAATGACAGGGGAATTCAAAACACATACACACACACACACACACACACACACACACACTTTTTAAATATAATTATACACCATTTTAGTGAACTTTTAAAATTGATGGCAGTAAGATATAGCTATAGTTTTACCTTTAGTAGATTTGATATAGTTAAGCTCACAATTATTTTCTAGTAATCTTTTTGTTTCTTTAAGTCTCATTGTAAAAATGTCCACTAGAATTCATTAAAGGACAACATCAAAATTTTGCAGTAAGATGCAAAAGCTTAGAAGAAGCAAACACTTTAAATAGGAAAATAAAACAATTTAGCCTGATACTACAGAATGTGAGAACATAGAAGACACGAAGAAAAATGCCCACGTGTAAACAGTAAACCACAAACAACATGGTATGTTGAGAATCACACAGAAATGCTTCTAGTTTATAAGGCATTTACAAAGGTTGCTTTGTTCTGTCTCAGTTCTCACAATTATTTATGATTTGCCAGGGCAAGAAATGAAATTGGAGGTGACTTAAGATATGAAGGGTATACTTAACAGTAGTTTTCTGTTGTAACAGTTCTGATTTTGCTGCTCTGCTTCTTAAAATTTCAGGGAATCTGAACATCTAAAGAAACCTTCTGAAGGCAAAATAAAAAGTTGCATTTTTTAATGTACCTGTTTTTCTCCACTTGGCTTTTTGTGGTTCAATAACAGCTCAACAGCTCCCACGACTTCTTTTCTGATAGCATGTAATAGAGCATCTCCGACGTACACATTAAAACTTAAGAGCAATTCAATGAGCTCCAAGTTCTCATTTTCAATTGCGATGAGGAGAGCAGTTCTTCCAAGAGGATCGATGCAATTAATATTGATTTTAAAATAAATTTCGGCTTCCTCTAGGGATTTCTTGACACTTGCATAATCTCCTTTTTCCACAGCGTTCAGGTAGGCTTTTTCTGATGGTGAAAGTTCCGATTCTGCCCGCACTATCCTTAGAGGGATGCGATCTCTGTAGGGGGCATTAACATTTCTTTTGTAATAGAACTGAGCCATGTTTCATGCCATGCTATTTCCTTGTCTCTGAAAGCACAAAACAGAAAGTGTAAGAATTAGTGTTAGTAGTATGTGTCATCTGACGCTTCCAACTCACAATGACGTCAATGACAATACCATATTATTAACTAAGATGAGTGAAGTTTTTTTTTTTCTTAAACAATAGAAATAGATTTCATAATGAATTATCTGGAAACACAAGGTCTAAAGTCCTAATTGGAAAGAAATGAAAAGAAGTCCAATTGGATGTCTCAAAATTGGACTGGGGATGCCCAATCCTGGTGGCACAAGTGGCATATTGCCTCTGAGAAAGACTGGGCCCACACGGGAGGCTGGGTTTCATACTCCAGATCAATCTAAACAGTTCAAGCATGGTGGCATATGCTTGCAATCCTAGTTCTTCAGGAGGCTGGGGCAGAGGGTGACTGCGAGACTCTTAACCCTCTCAGGGCAACTGTGGCCTGGTGGTGAAGGGAGCCAGATCCCATGTGGCCAACCATATTATTCAAGTCTTTACTCCAGAGCCTTACAAACCAATCTGGGCACATGTGTATGTGAACCTCTAACCCCAACAGGATAGAAAAATGAAGACGAGATGGTGGTGTAAACTTATCCAATTGATTGGTGCTTTCCCCTTCTCCTCCCTCTCTCTTTCTCTGGTGAGCGCACATACTTTCTGGACAAAAAAAAAAAAAAAAAAAAAAAAAAAAAGAAAACCCTCTTTTTTTCTCTTTTTCTGTCTTTCATTCACTCATTCTACCTCCTTCCCTCTCCATCTCTGTTTCTTTCTTTCTTCCTCTCTTTCTTTCTTTTTTTTAAGAGAGATTTTTTGCTATAGGCTATGTGTGCTCACTGGAAAGACAGAGAGAGACAGAAACAGAAAGTGAAAAATCACCTCCCAATGGGGGATGGCTATGGTGCAGTCCCTTCTCCTCCATTTCCCTAGGCATTTTGGACACACATACATATACACCTAGTGTGAATTTCATACTGTTGGATCCTGGATTTGAACTGCGGTTGGTTATGTGGGAGTTCAGCAATGTAACCATTATGTCATCTGCTAGTCTCCATCTCTGTTTTCCTATTTTTCATTAAAAAAATCTAGGAATATTCAAATATAGCATTCAGTAACAATTTTGCCGATTATGAAGATGCTATTGAGATAATGAAATAATTTATTTTGGTAAAATATATTTAATTTATCATCTTTTTAATGTAAATATTTTCATTAATGTGAATTAATAATATTAATATCAATATACTATCAAACTAAGCTTGATGAGCACAATTTTACTTTTGCCCCTTATGAGTGAATTCATTAAGGAGAAAAGAATATACTGATAGTATTAACCATTCAGATGAGTCTACATAATTTAATTTCCAAAGAGAGAATTTGGAAAAGGTTAAATAGAGACAGTTTATTATAAAAATGCTATTTCCTTAATTTGAGCACCTTTGTATCATGATTAAAAAACCATGAGGGGGACCAGCAGTTAGTGTAATGGCTATGTCGCTGGACTCCCATGTAGTCGACTGCAGTTCGAGTCCTGGACCCAGTGGCTTAAACTCAGGCTGTGTGTGCCCAAGATTCTGAGAGGAGAATGGAGGAGCAGGGATTGCGGGGTGGCCATCCCCCCTGGGGGGTGATTTCTTGCTGTCTGTCTCTCTGTCTCTCTCTGTCTTTCTGGTGAGCACAAGTGCCCTATAGCAAAAACCTCTCCAAAAAAAAGAAAAAAACAAAACAAAACCATAAGGTGGGAATGTAGTCATTATAAAATGTATTAATATTTGAAAGTAGCAGTAAAGATATAGTTGAAGGTGATAAAATTCTTCTAAATATTGAATAAATAAAAGATAATTTTAACATAAGATGATAACAAAGTTCCTGGAACTTATACCATGTCAACTTGTTGATATAAATTTATATAAAAAAGTATTACATGTTGTGTGTGTGTGGTGCTTCTTAGAATATTGCTGTGTTATGATTCTCCTACTTCAGGCTCTTGAGTATCTGAGACCACAGACATGTGCGTCTATACCCAGCTTGTATTGCATTTGGAATATAATTTCTTAACTATTGTTAGTTTCTCATTTCATACTTAAAAAAAAAAAACCTAACTATTTTATTCTTCTATGTTGGTAAAATTGAACGCACATTTTTATGTATATGTTTTCTATGTAAAATTTAAATGGATGGGTCATTCTAAGGACCTCAATTTAAATTATTAGTACAGTCATATTCATCTAATTGATCTCTCTGACCTAATAACTTTACAGATAAATTAACCTGATTTGAATAATATTTTATACATTCACCATCTTAATAGAAGTGATGTGCACAGACACAAGAGAGAAGAGGGCTGGCCTTATAGTGCACTGGTTAAATTTATGCAAAAGATTCCAGATCCTCTGTCCAAGGTGGGAATCCTGGTCCTGGTGACAACATGTTGAACCCATGTGCACATATGTGCAGGCAGCTGATGGGATGTAGAAATTGAAGAAAAAGGATTGTAATATGACCATGCTCTCTTAGGGACCAGGCTCTAGTGCTTCTTTTCTCTCTCTCTCTCTCTGGAACATTCATATACCATGTGGCTTAAGAAGAGAGAGAGAGACATTAATGACAGGATCTCATCATGCTGTGATCCCTTTTCCCTAGCTCTCCAGTTCCTCAGCATGTTGAGTGCCTGGCATGTTCTCAAGTGGTCTTGGGGATCCAGGCCCAGGGATCTGAAACTACGATTAGTAACAGAGTTTCCAGTCTTTCAGGGGACTGGGTTACTGCCATGGCACAGCAGTATGGCCAAATCTTACTATTTAGTATAACATTTTTATTTAGTGAAATTATGCATTGTTTCCATGCTACCTCAATTTATTATTTCACTTATCAAGTAGTTAAATTTCACCCTTTGACAACAAGATTATTCTTCATGATTTATCAATTATCTAGGTGCAAAAATCAATATGCTAAATTATTATTTTATAATGTATTCCTCTCTGGCATGTTAAACTTAACATTTTATCAAAGGATCTTTATAGCTTCAACAAAAAGTAGGTGTTCAAAGTGTATTAATTTCAGATTTACAAGTTCTTGCTTGTAGACTATCATTTCAGTATTTTGGAGTTGTTTAACTCATCATAGAATAACAGAAATAGCATTTAAAGTATAGGTTAACAAGGAGAATTTAGTATTCCTCCAGTAAGACTAAAATTTTAATAAATTAAGATCATTATGATACTACCTATCTCATTTTAATAATTTGAACCTGAACATCCCATTCATGCATCAGTGATGCCATTGAAATACAAGAGGTTGGGCTAGCCTTGATCCCACATGGCCAACTGCATTCATAGATTAAATTATGATAGACAAATGTTTCATTGTGGATTACCCAAAATACAAGTTGAAATGAAATAAGTGTGCACTCACATAGAGGTGCATATACACATACATGTTACAAAAAAAGCGTATAAATTATGATTCAGTGAAGGTTAGGAATCAGTCAAGAAAATGCAAGAAGTACATAATATTTCATTTCACTTAATCTTATTAACAATCTATTAAATGAAAAATAGTGAACAGCATTTTACTTCTCATTTTAAAAGTACAGAATATCAGGGACAATAAGGGATTTGTGGATAGATGGAGGTATTGGAGAATTTGGGGGGGGAGATAGCAGAAAAGAATAAATTTTACTTACTAAAATTCATGTCATTTATGCCAGAAAACTCCAATATACATGAACTATATCCTTAAGTTTTAAAAAGATTGATACTACACTGAAAGACATTTTCTAACCAACACTTTATTTAAGAGTTGAACTGGGTATGTGATACTACATCAGATAACCTGTTTTTCTAGCCATAAAGAGAGGAGATCAGCATTTACCAAAAAATAGGTAAGAGATGACAATCAATGATTTAGTGCTGAGAAAGATCTTCTATTAACTCTAATGACCTCTTTGACTGTCTTGGATTAGAAAAAAAATGTAGAACTTATGTTAGAAGAGTTAGATTTGAAATACATTTAAAATTTAAATACATTAGGTTTATAAAATTAAAATATCGGCAATGGAATATTAAAACATATATGGAAAAACAGAGGGGGGCAGAGACAGAGAGCGAGAGAAAGAGAAACTCTTGTGGTTGAAGCCTTTAAAGGGTAAGCAAGGTTACGTAATTCTTCAGTACCTAGACTTGTCCTTCTTGATTATTGCGATGCAGGGATACCAACGAAGGACATGAAATCAAGTTTAACATTTTAAAATTGCGATATATGAATGCAACAGCAAGTGGAAGGTGCTGATAAGGTTGATGGAGTTTCTGAGGTGACACACTTATCAACAACTACAGAATTGCTGCTGGATGGGAAGTCTGTGACAGAACAAGGGACTCAATATAGCAAATACCTTGTCCTGAAATATTGGCGTATAAACCTGTTCTTGGCCCTGCACTTTCAGGATGAACTTTCTGATGAGAGAAAGATTTTTTTTCTCTCCAGTGAAATTATAGAATGTAAGGGACTCTTTCACGTCGATGCCTCACTTATACTACCAGAAATGAAATGACCGCTATCAAGTTATGCTTCAAAGACTCAGAAAAGAGGTGGAAATTGATAGAAAAAGTTCAAATCTTGAGACGTGGCTTTTTAAATAATTTAAAATGTATTTTCCTTAAGGGCGTTGAGAATTTAAAAAAGCAAATATGGGGAACCAGCAGTTAGCGTAATGGCTCTGTCGCTGGACTCCCATGTAGTTGACCGCGGTTCCCGTCCCGGACCCGGTGGCTTAAAACTCACGCCGGGCGCGTGTGCGTGCGTGCCCAAGATCCCGAGAGGAGAATGGAGGAGAAGGGATTGCGGAGTGACCATCCCCCCTGGGGGGTGATTTCTCGCTTTCTATCTCTATGTCTCTCTCGGTCTGTCTGGCGAGCGCACGCGCCCTACAGTGAAAATCTCTCCAAAAAAAAAAAAAAGCAAATATGTGGGGAAAGTTACAATTTGACATCAATCCCAAGAGAGATTTTGA